ACCTTCGTCATCATCATCATCACAACATCCTCATCACTGTCATCATCATCATCATCATCATCATCATCATCATCATCAGCATCATTAGCATTATCACCATCATCATTATCAGCAGCAGCAGCAGCCTCAGCATCAATATCAACATCATGGTAAGTGTATAGCGTCGCTCGCACGTTTCGTGGCCCCATGGGGAGCTCCACCGAAGTCTCCAATGGCAGGCTCCGCCTGGTTACCCGCCCCAATTCGGCGCACCCCTCACGCGTTTCGTGCCCCGATAGGGGTCTCCTCCTAAGGTTCCTGAGGCACGGTCCGCATGGTTGCCCGCCTCAATTCGGCGCACCCCTCACACGTTTCGTGGCCCCATAGGAAGCTCCGCCGAAGGCCACAGTGGCAGGGTCCGCATGATTTCCCGCCCCATGTCGACGCACCCCTCACACGTTTCGTGGCTCCACAGGGAGCTCGGCCGAAGGCTCCTGTGGCACGGTCCCCATGATTACCGGCCCAATGTCGGCGCACCCCTTGCACGTTTCGTGGCCTCATAGGAAGCTCCGCCGAAGGCCACAGTGGCAGGGTCCGCAGGTTTACCGCTCCATTTCGGCCCATCTCTTACACGTTTCGTGGCCCCCCCGTGGGCTCCGACGAAAGCTCCAATGGCAGGGTCCGCATGATTACCTGCCCCATGTCGGCGCACCCCTCGTACGTTTCGTGGCCTCATAGGGAGCTCCACCGAAGTCTCCAATGGCAGGCTCCACGGTGGCAGGGTTCGCATTATTACCCGCCCCGCCCCATCACGGCACTCCCCTCGCACCCATCGTGGCCTCACATGAGCTCCTCCTAAGGCCACAGTGGCAGGGTTCGCATTTCGTTTCGGGTGATCTTTGGGACCAGAGTCGCGGGAGTGTGTGCCGTTCTTCGGCGAAGCTTTCAGGGGTACAGCAGAACCCCCGACTAGTTCTTGTGTGTTGAGTGATTACCTAACATCGAAGACTGGTAGGTTTCTAATAGGCTGAAAAGAGAGCAGCACATTACTCCAACATTACTCCACAGGGGGGTCTGGGCAGCCGTTGGGGAGGTGTTGGGGGCCGTTGGGGGGCCGTTGGGGTTTGCCGGGGGGGATCGTTTTTCGCATACAGTCACACACTTCGTGCTCTTCGACCTCCCAGAACTCCATTCCCGGGCCACATTCTGAATGCCCGGAGCCAACTGTACGCCACTTCGTGCTCTTCTCTCGACTTCCAGAACTCACATTCCAGTGCCACCTTTTGGATTCCGTATACGCCAACTGTAGGCCATCACTTCTACTCGTTCGACTTCCCAGAACTCCGAACCCCATTCCCGTGCCACATTTTGGATGCCTGGCAGCCAACTGTAGGCCACTTCGTGCTCTTTCGAGTTCCCAGAACTCATTTCCCGGAGCCTCACCCCCCCGCCATTTTGGAATGCGTCGAGCAACTGTAGGCCACTTCGTGCTCTTCGAGTTCCCAGAACTCCATTCCTGGGCATGATTTTGAATGCCCGGAGCCAACCGTAGTCCACTTCGTGTTCCTTTTCGAGTTTTCCCAGAATTTCATTCCCGAGTCGACGACATTTATGAATGCTGAAGGCAAGGCTGAGGCTGAGGCTGGGCCCTGAGCAGGCTAGGTGAGACCAGGCTTGAGCTGAGGCCGGCTGAAGGCAGACTGAGGCTGGGGCTGAAGCAGGCTTGAGGCTGAAGGCGGCTGAGGCTGACGGCTGAGGCTGAGCTGGAGGCTGTTGGCTGTGGCTGAGGCTGAGGCAAGGCTGAGGCAGGACGCTGAGCAGGCTGAGGCTGAGCAGGCTGAGGCTGAGGCTGAGGCAGGCTGAGGCTGATGCTGAGGCAGGCTGATGCTGATGCAGGCTGAGGCTGAGGCAGGCTGAGGCTGAGGCCGAGGCTGCAGGCAGACTGAGGCTGAGGCTGAAGCAGGCTGAGGCTGAGGCAGAGGCAGGCTGAGGCTGAGGCAGGCTGATGCTGAGGCAGGCTGAGGCTGAGGCCGAGGCTGATGCAGGCTGAGGCTGAGGCAGGCTGAGGCTGAGGCTGAGGCCAAGGCTCAAGGCAGACTGAGGCTTTGGCTGAAGCAGGCTGAGGCTGAGGCTGAGGCTGAGGCTGAGGCTGAGGCTGAGGCTGAGGCTGAGGCAGGCTGAGGCTGAGGCTGAGGCTGACGGCTGAGCCCGAAATTGTACCGTATGGCAATGGCTGAGGTCGGTTTCTACCATCCTGGGGGGCCGAGGCTGAAGGCGAGGCGTGAGGGCTGGGCTGAAGCATGCTGAGGCTGAGGCTGAGGCAGGCTAATGACTGAGACTGAGGCAGGCTGATGCTGAATAGCAGGCTGTAGGCTGAGGCTGAGGCTGATGCAGGCGGAGGCTGAGGCATGCTGAGGCTGAGTCCGAGGCTGAAGCAGAATTGAGTGCTGAGGCTGACCAGCAGGCTGAGCTAGAGGCAGAGGCAGGGCTGAAGGCTGAGGCTTGAGGCGAGGCCAGGCTGGATGCGAGGCTGTGATGCTGAGGCCCCCCCCAAAGGCCTGAGTCTGAGGCTGGAGCTGTGCAGGCTGAGGCGAGCAGGCTGGTCGGAGGCTGAGGCTGAAGCCGACTGAGGCTGAGGCTGAAGGCAGACTGAGGCTGAGGCTGAGGCAGGCTGAGGCTGAGGGCTGAGGCAGGCTGAGGCTGAAGCAGGCTGAGGCTGAGGCTGAGGCTGAGGCAGGCTCAGGCTGAGGCAGGCTGAGGCTGAGGCCGAGGCTGAAGGCAGACTGAGGCTGAGGCTGAAGCAGGCTGAGGCTGAGGCTGAGGCAGGCTAGGCTGAGGCAGGCTGAGGCTGAGGCTGAGGCAGGCTGAGGCTACAGGCTTGGCTGATGCAGGCTGAGGCTGCGCAGTCTAGGCCTGCAGGCTGAGGCTGAAGAGCAGACTGGGCTGAGGCTGAGGCCGAGGCTGAAGGCAGACTGAGGCTGAGGCTGAGCAGGCTGAGGCTGAGGCTGAGGCAGGCTGAGGCTGAGGCAGGCTGAGGCTGAGGCTGAGGCTGATGCAGGCTGAGGCTGAGGCACGCTGAGGATGAGGCCGAGGCTGAAGGCAGACTGAGGCTGATGCTGAAGCAGGCTGAGGCTGAGGCTGAGGCAGGCTGAGGCTGAGGCTGAGGCAGGCTGATGCTGAGGCAGGCTGAGGCTGAGGCTGAGGCTGATGCAGGCTGAGGCTGAGGCAGGCTGAGGCTGAGGCCGAGGCTGAAGGCAGACTGATCTGAGGCTGAAGCAGGCTGAGGCTGACGCTGAGGCAGGCTGAGGCTGAGGCAGGCTGAGGCTGAGGCTGAGGCAGGCTGAGGCTGAGGCTGTGACGGCGACTGCCGTTGCCACTGCGACTGTCATCGCGAATGCGACTACGACTGCGAGAACAGCAGAATTCTACAACTGGATTCTCATCCGAATCTTAAGGGGAATGCTTCCAGATATGCTCCTACACATCGATGTTAGGTTGCTTTGCCGGGATAATTTTGTTACTAGATTGCCACGCAGCTTAATGGACTGGGTCTTCGCCGGGTATTCTTTACGCTTCGCGTATCCCCACCCAGCCCTTTCACAACAGAAGGGCTCTTGCGAAGCATGCCGACCTTCGTGTTTGTCGTGTTTTGTCAGGCGTGTTCCGCATGCCTCGCATATCCCCTGTTCCTCTTCCCTCCCGCATCCGTGTACATCCTCCTTGTGGGGGGAGCGGGGAAGGACGAGGACGGGAGGAGGAGGGAGAGAAAAGCGACTCCTCGTGGTTTGAGGTGTCGTTTGGGGTCTTACTCGTCCTTCTTCCTGGTGTGAGTCGTTCGGCTCTTCGTGGTGTGAGTCGTTCGGGCTCTTCGTCCTGTGTGAGTCGTTCGGGCTTCTCGTGGTGTGAGTGTTCGGGCCCCTCGTCCTGGTGTGAGTCGTTCGGGCCCCTCCTCCTGGTGTGACTCGTTCGGGCTCCTCGTGGTGTGAGTCGTTCGGGGCCCTCGTCGTGGTGTGAGTCGTTCGGGCTCCTCGTGGTGTGAGTCGTTCGGGCGCCTCGTCCTGGTGTGAGTCGTTCGGGCCCCTCCTTGTGGTGTGAGTCGTTCGGGCTCTTCGTGGTGTGAGTCGTTCGGGCCCCTCGTCCTGGTGTGAGTCGTTCGGGCTCCTCGTGGGGCCTCTTGGGAGCCTCTTGGAGCCTCTGGGGCATCTTGGGGGCCTCTTGGGGGCCTCTTGGGGGCCTCTTGGGGGCCTCTTGGGGCCTCTTGGGGGCCTCTTGGGGGCCTCTTGGGGGCCTCTTGGGGGCCTCTTGGGGCCTCTTGGGGGCCTCTTGGGGGCCTCTTGGAGGCCTCTTGGGAGGCTCCTGGGGGCCTCTTGGGGCCATCTTGGGGTCTCGTGCGACCTCCTCTGAAGCGCAAAGGAGCGCTGTCCCCTGAGAACGACAAAATGAGCCCAAAACCTTTGTAAAATCAATGGTTTTGCTATGAAGGAAGAGGAGCGCGGCCCCCTCAGAAGGCCAAAATGGGGCCAAAACCCTAGTAAAATCAATGTTTTTAGCTTCAAAGACGGTCTGAGGGGCCAAACGGTCCCTTCCCCCTGGGGGCCAGAATCCTCGTGAGGGTCGTCGTTTTTTGGCCCTCCCAGGAGTCGAAAAAGGCCCGCTTGATTGCACTCGGGACGCCCTCTCCAGGCCCAGGGGGAGGGGGTAGGGGGAGGGGTAAACCCCTCCCCGAAGGGGAAGAAGGGGGGTTGGGGGGTTGAGGACAGAGAAAGCTCGCTAAACCACTCACGCCCAAAGGGCTGGTGGGATAGACACGGGTTGGCTACTTCTCTCTTGCACGCTGCTCCCCGTCCTCCCCCTCTCTGCCCTCCTCTCCGATTCGTGCCCCCTCCTACCCCATTCCTCCTCCTCCTCCTCCTCCTCCTCCTCCTCCTCCTCCTCCTCCTCCTCCTCTACGTCGTCGTCGTCATCGTCGTCGTCGTCGTCGTTGTCCTCCTCCTCCTCCTCTTCCTCCTCCGCCGGGGCAGGTGCACCGGAGCGACGACGAGGATCAGGAGCGCGAGAGGCACGAGAAGCTGAAGACGGTGCTCAAGGCCGTCTACAGGCGGGCGGCGCCGCGCCGGGCCACCTCTTTGGCCCGCCCCTCCTACGTCCCCCCCTCGCCTCCCTCCCTCTCTGCCCCCTCCCTCCGCGCCCTCCCCTCTCGTCGCTCGCCCTCCGCTCTCCCGGCCTCTCCGTCTCCCTCCGCCCCTCTCCTGACCTGCCCCTCACTCTCCCCTCCCTCTTCCTCCCTCTCCCCTCCTCCCTCTTCCACTGCTCCCTTCTTCTTCTTCACCTTCTTCTCCTTCTTCTCCTCCTCCGCCTCCTCCTTTATACGTCGCACAGGCGCTGACTGGCTGACCGTAGCGTCAACCTCCTCCTTTTCCTTCACCTTCACCTTCACCTTCACCTCATCATCATCATCATCATCATCATCATCATCATCATCATCATCATCATCATCATCATCATCATCATCATCATCATCATCCTTATCATCATCATCATCATAATCAGAATCCTTATCATAATCATCATCATCATCATCACCAGCATCATCAGCACCACCATCTTATCGCCATCATCATCATCATCACTATCATTATCATCACCATCATCGTCAGCATCACAGCCATCATCATTAGCAGCGCGATCATCATCGTCATCAACATCATCATCATCAGCATCATCATCATCATCTCTATCAGCATCGGCATCAGCATCGCCATCATCATCAGCATGAGCATTATCATCATCAGCATCACCACCATCACCATCATCAGCATCATCATCATTAGCATCAATATCAGCATCATCAACATCATCGTTATCACCATCCTCATCATACTCATCACCAGTATCATCAACAGCATCAACATCATCATCACCATCATCGTCAGCATCGCAACCATCACCATCAACATCATAACCACTATCATCATCGTCATCATCATCATCTAAATCATCATCCTTATCATCATCATCAACATCATCATACTCACCATCATCACCAGCATCGGTATCAGCATGATCATCATCATCATCATCATCACCATCATCACCATCATCAGCAGCATCAGCATCATCATCACCATCATCATCGTTATCACCATCCTCAGCATCATCACTGTCATCATCATCATCATCATCACCATCATCATCATCATCATCACCACCACCACCATCACCATCACCATCACCATCACGATCGTCATCATCATCAGCAGCAGCAGCATCAGCAGCAGCAGCGTCATCCACCCCTTCGTGCTACAGTCCGCAGCCATTTTGGCTCAAGATGCCCCTTTCTCCTGGAAAGGAAGTGGGCACCGCTCGCGGCAGGCAGGGCCGTTCATCCTGGAGCCCTGTCGCCGCCTACACTGCGGGACTTGGGCCCACGCGCTCACGGCGAGTCGCCCCGCGGCCGCGAGACCGAAACTCTCCAGATCCGGGAGTCGAGCGGCAATGGACCGCCGAAGACCGCCGAACACCGCCCGAAGACAGCCGAAGACTGCCGAAGCCGGCCCAGGAACCATGGGTAACAATGCGAGGCGGGAACGTACACAAGACCACCGCCTGGAGGATCAATTTTCGGGGACCTCGGCAGGCGGTTGATACGGACATATTCGGGCCCCTGGGGGCCAGAATATATCCGTATCCACCGCCCGCAAGGGCACCAGGACGTCGGTTTCCAGGCGGTGGATATGGATAAATCCCCGCCTCGCGAACAAGGGGTCCACAGTCGAACACGTAAGCATGACGCGGCTGGCCTCGGGGCAAGAGCTGCATGCGCACGTGGCCCGGCGGCTCTCCCGCGCTCGGCCCTTCCCTGGCTTGGCCCGGCACCACTGGCCCTCCGCACGCGTGGCCAGCAAGCGTGTTGTGGGGTGTGCCTTGTGTGGTGAGCAGCGGCAGGCGTCGTGAGGTGGCTTGTGCTGTCTGTGGGTCTCGTGCTCGGGTTCGCGTGGGCACCAACATCAGGGAGTGCAAACGTTGCTCCACTCCCTTCCATCTCCCGCGTGGCTGGCCAGGCAGCGGCGACGGGCGCGACATCCAGATGGTGGGAACAAATCTATTTCCAAGCAAAGTGGGGTTGGGCAAAGGGATATCTTCCGACGTTGCCAAGATCGCTATGGAGGCACATTGTCGTAGGCAAGTGGCTCAATACATGATGGACACATGTGGGTATGATCGTATGTCCAGCCCCAAGGGTGAGGATGGCCAAACGCGTAAGACACACGATCAATCGTTCGAGAAATATTCGGCCACACCATCGACGCTCGAAGGCAACCTCATCTAAGGCCAACGCCGGGACGATCGCCAAGGCCCAAAAAAAGGTGGCAATACTCACAGAGTATGCCGTGGTGAACCTGCCCAACCCCAGCCAAGTCCAGAGGATGAAGCTGTCAAAGGTCTTGTCCAATCGGCTCAGCAGTTGACCAAGACGTTCAAAGAGGCGTCGGGTGCGGGAGCGACCATTGCCGACACGCCAGAGACGCAATGCAAAACGTAATTCGAGGAGCTGGAACAACTTTCCCGCAAGAGGAGCGCCCTCAGTGGAAGGCCAGGATTCCGGAGCTCGTCAACGGACAGCCATCGTCCGCATCAGCATCGGCGGACCGGAACCGAGCATGCGCATCCAAATCCAAACCAGACCAGCAGCAGCCAGTCAGCAACGTGCTCGTCGCGATGCAGCAGGTCGGGGTCGTGAGCCAGTTGCGGGCAGAGGAGGTGCAGCTGACCCAGGCGATGCGGGTCGCTAGGGTTCCTGCTCAGCGCGACCTGCCCCAGCGATCCCAGCGCCTGTGATTTCGAATCTTCTGTTGGCGGCTATAATCATGTCTATGTCTGCAATTCTGCCCATAAGCCATTTTGAGTGGGAAGGTGACGTGGGGGGGGAAACACATGCTGGTGGAAACGGTCAACGAGTCATCCTGGGAAACTATCAAGGACCGTTTGGGTGAGCATACCACTGCGATCATGCTCTGGTGGTGCTCGCTCAGGAAATCAAGCTTATGAAAGAGTCAATCGCCGCGGCGTCTGCTTTGGGTGTGAAGAATGGCTGGGAGTTGTTCTGGGCTTCCAGCGCCAACGGCCGTCTCAGTGCGTCACTTCTCAGGCAGAATGCCTTTGGGGACGGAGGCGTTTCCGCGGGGGTCGCAATTTTCGTGAAGGCCACCCTGGGAGCCTTCAATTCGGGACCACCTTGTTCCCTTGAGAGAGGTATCACATTTCCTGGTAGGGCTATTTCTTGTGCAGAAGTGCTCCCAGGTGCTCCAGGGATTGTGTGTACCTCTGTGTATGGGAAAGTTCCAGAAGGCATCTCCGCACTTCGTATGGACCTATTGGTAAGGGTTGCCTCGGTTTGTACAGACTTCTGGCATGTAGTGCCTCATCGGGGGGGTCCACAGACTGTGTGGAACGTGGGCCACCTCGGGTTTTCCGTTAGCTCTTGAGGTCCAAGCGATGGTGCCAGAGCCTCCCGTTAGCGACAAATTGGCTGATTTCTTCGCAGTGGCGCCGCAGCTGGACAAACCTACTACATCAGTAGAGTCGGACCTTGGTCGGCACGGCCGCCCGCACTTTTCCAGTGAAGATAAAGGCTACCGCCGAGCGTGCGCCGGGTGAGTGTGCTACAGTTCCAGAGGAGGGGGAGGAGGAGGAGGAGGAGGAGGAGGAGGAGGAGGAGGAGGAGGAGGAGGAGGAGGAGGAGGAGGAGGAGGAGGAGATGGGGAGGGAGGAGAGAGATGCCTTTTGTGTGCTTCCTTGGGCCTTTCGGCCTTTGGAGACTCCCTGGGGGGCCGCTTGGCCGTCTGAGTGCCTTCCTGGCCCGTCTGGCTGACGCCGTCGGAGGCCGTCTTGGGAGCCTTTCTAGGTCGTCTTAGATGCCGTCTGGGGCGTTTTGGAAGTGTCATGGGTTGTCTTGGGGCCCTCTGGGGGCCGCCTGGGGGGCCTCTTGGGCCGTCAGGGGGCCATGTCGGATGCTTCTGGGGCGCTCCCGGGTCCATCTTGATGGCCCGTGCGAGCATTTTGGGCCATCGGCAAGCAGAAAGTGAGCAAACGCCCCAATCTTGCAAACACATAACGGGAGGTCAATGATTTTGCCTTCGTCGGGCCTTCCAGAAGGACCTCTGGGAGGCCTCTTAGGGGGCGGGGGCCGCTTGGGCTGTCCTGGGCCATCTTGAGGCCATTCTAGCGCGTCTTGGCCGCGTCAGGGGCCTTCGTGGAGGCATCTTGCGGCCACCTTGGGCTCTCTCGGGGTCACTGCGCAGCAGCCTTTCGTGCCCTCGACCTCCGTGCCCGGGCGTGCCAGCGCACCCTTCGTGCCCAGTCCATGCAGGGAGGCGTCGGGGCCCCCAGATGGGCGGAAGCGCCTGTCGTGATCGTTGCCGGGGCGCCCGGGTGCTGGGGGCACTGTGTCCTCCCTCCACCCGCCCTCCACCCGCCCTCTTGCCTCCTCCCCGCACCTCCCTCGTCCACTCCCTGCCTCCCGCCCTCTCTCCTGCTCCTGCTCCTCCCTCCTCTCCCTCCTCTCCCTCGCTCCTTCCCACCTCCCCCCCTTCGCCCGCCTCCCCTCGCCCCTCTCCCAGCTCCCATGCTCCTGCCCCTGCTCCTCCCCTCGTCCCCCTCCTGCCCCTTCCCGCCCCCCTCCTGGTATCTGGGCGGCCGACCGGCCAGGCGCAGCTGCTCCAGGCGCGACTTCGGCGCTCCACCACTCGAGGGAGGAAAAACCACTCGAGGGAGGATAAAGATCGCTCCACCACTGGCGTTTACTGAACAGCCCTGGGCGTTTACTGCACAGCCCTTCCCTGTTCCATTCCTTCCTCGGGCGCGTTTGCTAAATCGCTTCGCTTGCCGGGGTGCTTATTGTGAGGGTGGATCTTTTGCTCCCTAACCACCTCCCCTACCCTCCTCCCGCCTCCCTCGTCCACAGGATGGGGTCTCTTGGGCCTGGGAACCCTGCTGGGCCGTCTTGGGCAAGTCTCAGGGGCCCCTGGAATCTACTCGGAAAGCATTTGTTGCTTCGGGTTTCTTTGACGAGCCATCAAGGCCCCAAGACAACCCAAGCGACCCCCAAGGGAGCGTTCCTCCACCTCCCCACCTCCACCTCAACCTCCAACTCCTCCTCCCATCATCCTGCTCATCTTGCTCCTCCATCTCCCTAAACCTCCTCCTGCTCCTCCCTCCTCCTCCTCCTCCTCCTCCTTCTCCTCCTCCCCCTCCTCCTCCAACGCGCCGTAACGCCGAACGTCCCGGGAGCCTCCTCCAGTGTAACGAAGACGCCATGCGAGTCCACTGTGCTAAGACACTACGCTGAAGGAAAACACGAAAACACTCCGCCAAGACACTGCGCAACAACATCACTTCGAAGCAATACGCAAAGGCACTCCTCCTCCTCCTCCTCCTTCTCCTCCTCCTCTCGCCTCCCTCGACCTTCTCCTCCAACTCCTTTACGTAGCGCAGACGCCGCGCGAGGGCGCTGCGCACAGACACTACGCAAGCGCACTGTGCTGACACACTGTGCGGACACGCTGCGCTGAGGCACGACGCAAAGGTACTGCTCTTCCTGTCCCCTCCCTCCCCCTCTCCCTTCCTCTACTCTCCTCCCCTCCTCTTCCCCCTCCTCTCCTTTCCTCTCCTCCTACCTCCTTCCCTCTCCTCCTCCACCGCCAAGAACACTGCGCATCACATCACGTCGGCCCTGCCTTCGAAAGGCACCCTCCTCTCTCCGCTCCTTCTCCTCTCCTCTTCGCCTCCCTCGAACCTTCTCCTCCAATCCTTTACGTAGCGCAGAGCCGCGCGAGGGCGGCAGCGACAGGACATACGCAAGCGCACTGTGGCTGACTACTGTGCGGTCACGTCGCTGCGCTGAGGCACGACGCAAAGGTACTGCTCTTCCTCGTCCCCTCCTCCCCCTCCTCCCCTACTCCTCCTCCTCTCCCCCTCCCCTATCCCCCTCCGCTCCCTCACTTCCTCCTTCCTCCTCCTACTTCCTCGCCTCGCAAACCAGACACTGCGCAACAACATCACGTCGAAGCAATACGCAAAGGCACTCCTCCTCCTCCTCCTTCTCCTCCTCCTCTCGCCTCCCTCGACCTTCTCCTCCAACTCCTTTACGTAGCGCAGACGCCGCGCGAGGGCGCTGCGCACAGACACTACGCAAGCGCACTGTGCTGACACACTGTGCGGACACGCTGCGCTGAGGCACGACGCAAAGGTACTGCTCTTCCTCGTGCCCCTCCTCCCCTCTCCTCCCCCTCCTCCTCCTCCTCCTCCCTTCCCTCTTCCCCCTCTCATCTCCTCCTCCTCCTCCTCCTCCTCCTCCTCCTCCTCCACCGCGCGGGGAACCGAGTGTCCCCGGGAGCCTCCCACGCAGCGAACACGCCGTGCGACGGCACCACGCTTACACACTACGCTGCACCACGCCGCGAAGTCACCACGCAGTAGCACAAGACAGCTCGCCGCTCGGGCCCGACCGCCAGTGTAGACGGTGAGCTTCAGTCGGGCGGAGTCAGGCAGAAACGGCCAGGAGGGGCGCCACAGGTTGCGCCGTCCACGGGCTGCGTTGTGCAACCTGCGCGTTGCCCCCAAAAGTTGCACCGTCCATGGGTTGCTCGAATGGCTGCGCCGTCCGCAGGTTGTGCCACGGGTTGGTCCATCCGTGGCATGGGCTGCGCCATGGTTCGAGTCGCTGACTGCGCCGTGCCCGTGGGGTGCGCCATGCATAGACTGCGCCGTTGGCTGCGCAGTCGGCGGCCGAAGACAAGAACGGCCTGCTGTTGGTTCGGCCACGATTGCGCACCGGGGTGGACGACACACAACGGCCTGCTAACGGGCGGGACCAGTCAGTCAGTCAGTCAGTCAGCCAGTCAGTCAGTCAGTCAGTCACTCACTCACTCACTCACTCACTCACTCACTCACTCACTCACTTTACCACGCGAACGCATGCTCGGGCTTTGCCCGATACCGCTACGCTGCGCCGCTGAGCAAGCGCACCACGTTAGACCACAGCGTAGCTTCTGTGCGTCATTCCCAACCATCCTGAGGTGTTGGGTCCTCGTTTTGAAGAGACGGTCCCCGGGTTCTCCTTCTCTCCTCCTCTTCCCCCTCCTCCTCCACCGTCCGCATGCGTCCCGCACACCCAGTACAGCGTTTCGCGGTCCTCCTCCCCTCCTCCCTGCGTTTCGCCCACCCAGTACAGCGTTTCGTGGCCCCATAGGGAGCCCCACCGAAGGTCCCAGTGCTACCGTCCGCATGCGCCCCGCATACCCAGTACAGCGTTTCGTGGCCCAATAGGGAGCCCCACCGAAGATCCCAGTGCTACCGTCCGCATGCGTCCCGCACACCCAGTACAGCGTTTGGTGGCCCCATAGGGTGCTCCACCGAAGGTCCCAGTGCTACCGTCCGCATGCGTCCCGCACACCCAGTACAGCGTTTCGTGACCCTCCTCCCCCTCCTCCCTGCGTTTCACCCGCCCAGTACAGCGCTTCGTGGCCCCATAGGGAGCCACACCGAAGGTCCCAGTGCTACTGTCCGCATGCGTCCCGGACACCCAGTGCAGCGTTTCGTGGTCCCATAGGGAGCCCCACCGTAGGTCCCAGTACTACCGTCCGCATGCGTTCCGCACACCCAGTACAGCTTTTCGTGGCTCTCCTCCCCCTCCTCCCTGCGTTTCACCCACCCAGTACACCGTTTCGTGGCCCCATAGAGAGCCCCACCGAAGGTCCCAGTGCTACCGTCCGCATGCGTCCCGCACACCCAGTACAGCGTTTCGTGGCCCCATAGGGAGCTCCACCGAACGCCCCAGTGCCCCCGTCCGCATGCGCCCCGGAAGCCCAATTTAGCATTTTCACCCACCCAGTGCAGCGCTTCGTTGCCCCATAGGGGGCTCCACCCAAGGCCCCAGTGCCACCGTCAGTATGCGACCGAGAAAAGTAATTTGGCATTTTCACTCGCGCAGTGCAGCGTTTCCCATAGGGGGCTCCACCGAAGCCCCCAGTGGGACCGTCCGCATGCGCCCCGGAAGCCCAATTTGGCATTTTCACTCACTCAGTAGAGCGCTTCGTGGCCCCACAGGGAGCTCCACCGAAGCCCTCAGTGGGACCGTCCGTATGCGTCCCGGAAACCCAATTCGGCACACCACCCACACAGTACAGCGTTCCCCCCCGCCCAGTGCAGCGCTTCGTGGCCCCATAGGGAGCTTCACCGAAGCAGATATTCACAATTATGGTACCCACAACTGCATATGGTTCGCCAGGATAATGTTTTTGCGCAGTGTCCTAGCCTTGTGCTTTTGTATAGTGTTTTCCCCAAACATCCTGTGGTGTTGGGTCCTCGTTTTGAAGAGACAGTGTTCCGCGTCTCCTCTCCTCCTTCCTCTCATGTCTCCCCCGCGCCGCGCCCATTTCGGCGCACCCCTCACGAGCATCGTAGCCCCATAGGGAGCCCCACCGAAGGCCCCAGTGGAAAAGTTCGCATGGCGGCCTCGGGCCAGTTCGGCGTACCCCTCACGAGGACCGTGGCCCCATAGGGAGCCCCACCGAAGGCCCCAGCGGGAAAGTTCGCATGGCGGCCTCGGGCCAGTTCGGCGCACCCCTCACGAGGATCGTGGCCCCATCGGGAGCCCCACGGAAGGCCCTAGTGGGAAAGTTCGCATGGCGGCCTCGGGCCAGTTCGACGCACCCCTCACAAGGATCGCGTGGCCCCATAGGGAGCCCCACCGAAGGCCTCAGTGGGAAAGTTCGCATGGCGGCCTCGGGCCAGTTCGGCGCACCCCTCACGAGAATCGTGGCCCCATAGGGAGCCCCACCGAAGGCCTCAGTGGGAAAGTTAGCATGGCGGCCTCGGGGCCAGTTCGGCGCACCCCTCACGAGGATCGCGTGGCCCCAAAGAGAGCCCCACCGAAGGCCCCAGCGGGAAAGTTTGCATGGCGGCCTCGGGCCAGTTCGGCGCACCCCTCACGAGCATCGTGGCCCCATCGGGAGCCCCACCGAAGGCCCCAGTGGGAAAGTTCGCATGGCGGCCTCGGGCCAGTTCGGCGCACCCCTCACGAGGATCGTGGCCCCATAGGGAGCCCCACCGAAGGCCTCGGTGTGAAAGTTCGCATGGCGGCCTCGGGCCAGTCCGGCGCACCCCTCACGAGGATCGTGGCCCCATAGGGAGCCCCACCGAAGGCCTCAATGGGAAAGTTCGCATGGCGGCCTCGGGCCAGTTCGGCGCACCCCTCACGAGCATCGTGGCCCCATAGGGAGCCCCACCGAAGGCCTCAGTGGGAAAGTTCGCATGGCGGCCTCGGGCCGTTTCGGCGCACCCCTCACGAGGATCGTGGCCCCATAGGGAGCTCCACCGAAGCCCCCAGTGTGAAAGTTCGCATGGCGGCCTCGGGCCAGTCCGGCGCACCCCTCACGAGGATCGTGGCCCCATAGGGAGCCTCATCGAACATGATAGTCACGACTGCGGTGCTCACAACTGCATATGGTTGGGTCCTTCGCCAGGCTTACTTTGCGTAGCGTCCTATTTCGCCATTCGGATCGCTGTCGATTGTATGCAGGGGTGCAGCCCTCTGGATCTCGACGCGCCTTCCGCGACCGACTGTTGTTGCGTTTCGTTCCCTCTTCGGACCGTTGCGGAATGGGAGCCGCTCTATGAGCCGTGTCCAAGTGTCTATGGGAGGCGCCCGGCAGTACGAATGCATTGAGTTCTTCAACTGGTGTCGCGTTGTTCGAGCAATGGGCGCAACAACGACCGACAACTACATATTCAACGCATGCATGACCTCACTAGGTTGGCCCTTCACCGCGTCATAGCGTCGTCCCATGCAACCAGCGACGTGCTGAATGAGGGAAGGTTGTTGAACACTGTAGAGCAAACATGCGTACATGCCGCAGCACTGATACATGTTTTTGACAGCTTGGAAACGAAACGCCGCAGCCGTCCATCTCTTCATATTCCTGTCACTGTTGCTACCTCTCGTGTTATGCTCCCCCCTCCCTGCAATGGAGATTGTTCAAGATGATTGACACGGATGGCTCCGACAGCATTGACCGCCAAGAGTTTCAGACGCTGCTGAGGCCTACGGCGAGTCCATATTGATTGGTTAGGGATAGTAGAATCGGGAGTGAGTACCCATCGGTCGTCAAACACGTGTGTCTTCGGATCCCCATATCCCGACATAGTTTAGACGCCTTTCCTACTTGAAGTATCGAGTGGTTTTCCCGCTTCCTTCGTCTTCAGGGGACGGGCTGATATCCCATACATATGTATATATACATACATATACATATACATATACATATATATAAATAAACATGTGTACTTGTATGTATGTATGTGTATATATATATATGTATATATATGTGTATATATACATATATAAAGATATATCCCGGGGGACGAGGACCGGGGGCCTGGCACCGCGACCTCGACCTCGCACGGGGGTGCCGGGGCTTCCGGGGCGCCCCCGGGATGGCTCCCGAGGGCGCCGGAGGCGGCTTAACAAATCAAGAGGGCGCACAAGCCTCGAAATGTAGCTTGAAGACGCCGACGATGGCTCCAAGAGGGCTCCCAGGAGCCCCCGAGACAGCCCAAGAGGCCCCCAAGAGCCCTCCCAAGAGGGCCCCAAGAGGCAAAGTCGGCCCCGTTCCCGGGGGAAAACGTACACTTTTCAGGGATTCGCCTCTTGACCTTCCAGGGGAACGAAGACGGCCCAAAAGGCCGCCATAATCGCCCCAAGACAGCCCAAGAGGGTTCCAAGACAGCCCAAAAGGGCCCCTGGCTAGCCCAAGAGGTCCCCAAGACGGCCCAAGAGGGACCCAGGACGGCCCCAAGCAGGGGCCCAGAGAGGATGCCCTACGAACATGCCAAGCCCTCCGCCCCCAGAAGTCCCAAGGAGGCCCCAAGAGCCCCCCAAAACGCCCCCAAGAAGCCCCTCAGAAACCTTCAAGAAACTCCCTAGAGCCCCCCCAACAGCCCCCTGACCAGACGCCCTCAGGTACTCTTCCCGCTCCCGAAGCTTCCGGACCACTCTTCGCTTCCTGAGGTCCGAAACGGGGCTCGGGACCGTCAAACTTTTACGACGAAACACCCGGCCCTTTGAAGGTCTTCGGACTTCGGGCCCACTCCACGGACCCCGCGTTGAACAAGTCACGCTAGCGAATCTCTTGGACAGCATGACATACCAGTCCCGTGGAATGCGCCAGGCTTCCAGGACCCGACGTGTAGCGACCTGTGGTGGTGATGATTGTGGTCGTGGATTCGCGACAGTGGCAGTGGCAATGGTAGCGGTATAGTGGTCGCGGAGAGTGCAATCGTCGTGGGTGGGGTGGTCATGCCCAGAAGAATAGATATGTAATCAGAAGTGGTCGTGACCGCGGTGATGGCGGAAAGGGCGGTGGTAGCCGCGGCGGCATTGGCAGTGTTGAGCGTGGTCGCGGGAGTGACTAGAACCCAAGCGCGCGCGAAGCGCGCGCCTGGTTCTAGTATATACATATATGTATACGCATCCAGCGCCTTCCTAGTTCCTACTTCTTCCGACTGATGGGCAGCAGTGCAGAAGGATGCGTTGGAAAGGCGGTTGGCGTAACGTCAAGACGCTGAATTTCGAACTACTTTGCTCAGGGGGGGCTCTGGTTTTCTGGTCGCTCTTTCGATCCAGGTCGGCGGACCTATTCGTGGCCGAGGCTCGCCGTGGCCATAAAAGCCCCCTGCGCTTCTTACTCAGCGTTCCTTTGTGGTATCACGACGACAGTAAGGCGAGCACCGTTCCAACTCGGGCGAGGTGATAGTTCGCCGGCGTAGGAGGAGGAGGAGGAGGAGGAGGAGGAGGAGAGGAGGAGGAGAGGGAGGGAGGAGGAGGAGGGAGCAGGAGGAGGAGGGGGAGGAGGAGGAGGAGGAGGAGGAGGAGGAGGAGGAGGAGGAGGAGGATGGCAGCGTCTTTGGCGAGTCGGGGTCTGCGGGGGCCGGCCTCCGCTCCCGCAGGGCCGTGGACAGTCAGGAGTGCGCCAGGCAAGCAGTTCGCGCGTGCAGAGGAAGAGCCGCCCCGTCGTGCGGTGTGCTGCTAATGACGCTCGCGGAGGCAGCTGCCCGCCGCACGCGCAGTCTTGCACTCCCCTGTGCGGGTCGTGTGTGGCGGTCCCACCCCCCTCCACCCCTAATTAGGTGCACGCGCCTAAGCTGGGCACGGCGCCGCCGAGGCGCTTGACCGTTCGCTCTGCGCGCGCGTCGCAAAAAGGGTGTGGGGGGCCTCATGTGTGATGAGCCAGTTTTCCTCCACCGCTGCCATAAGTAGGACAGGGGGGAGAAAGGAGGATGAGGAGGTCCTCCTTCTCCTCCTCCTCCTCTTCCTCCTGCTCCTCCGTAGCCATTTTGGCTTAGGGTCCGTAGCAGTGGCTCAGGGACCTTGACAGTGGCGCGAGGGGTTCGCGGCCCTCACAGTCTTACACATTCTGCACACTCAACTTCTCGGCGCGCTCTTTTCCGTGCAGGTGCCCGCCTGTGCGCGCTGACCTTCGTCACGGTTGGCACATGGCGCCTCCTGCCTGGTAGGATGCTTCTCGCTCGGGGTTTGTCCAGAGTGGACGCAAAAAGCAACGAGTGGTATGGGCTAGGCCATGGTATTGCAAGCGCTGCTGGTCAAGCTCTACAGGCGATCGGTGGTGGAACAGAGCGGATCCGGACAGGTGCCAGCTGCGCAAGGAGCACACAGGCATTGCGTTCGGAGGTGTCAAGGAAGTCGTCGGCCAGGCGCCCAGCACGAATCCTCGTGCAGCAGGCGGGGGTGGCGGCCACGAGGCCGAGATCAAGAAGCTGCGGGCCGAGCTGTCCAAGCTCAGGAGCCAGCAGACACAGCAAAGCGGCGGCGGACCCGACGCTATGGAGGTGGGCGACTCTGGCAAGGGGCCCGATGCCGATATCAAGCGAGAGTTGGCGGACGCGGGCTCGAACCTCGCGGCGCTGGAGCAGGCGTCGTGCGTGGAGCTCGTGGAGGCCAGAGGCAAGCTCCGCGCGCGCCAAAGCGAGTTGCACAAGCGGCTCGTGGCGGGCCAGAGCTTGGACACCCGGCTCAGGGATATCTCCTGTCAGCATCAGAAGTTGGAGAAGCGTAAGGATGCGCAAGAGCAGCACGTCGTGTCGCTGCGCGAGAAGGTGCGCTTGACGGAGGCGGCGGTCGCTGGAGCCACCACGGTACTGGGCCGCCTCAGCGCCGAGCTCTTGGAGCTCGAGGAGGAGCGCCGCCAGCTGGTGGCGCAGGTGCCGCGGCCGCAGGCTGGCGAGACACCGTCGCTCGGCCAGGTGCTGCCTGTCGCCTCCGAGGAACTGTCGGTGGACAAGCTGGGCGCCGCGCGGAGCAGCAGCGCCGCGCGGCAGAGGCGGCCGCGGCGACCCAGCAGGCTGCGGGGCTGGGCTCAGGCTCTGGCGGCTCCGCCGCAGCCGCCGCCGCCGCCTCTGGCGCCGCCTCCTCCAAGTGAGGCAGCCAGCGCTGCTGGAGGCGCTGCCCCTGGCGCGCCGTCCTGGATCCCCCGCGCGGATGGGGGCCCAGAGGTGCTGCGGGCCTTCCCCCAGTCGGTCAATATGCAGGTGCCCGAGGGGGAGCTGCGCGACCCAGTCAAGAGGGCCGGCGAGACGCTCTCGAACTTCGCCAAGAAGCAGCGGTGTGCTGCCGGACTCTGCTGCGCCTCCTCATCATCATGATGATGCAAGTTGTGACTGTGAGTGCTTCTTCTCGCGGGCCTCTGGCAGAGATGCTGGAGGCGGAGCGGTCTGCCGTGGGCGCGGGGCCGTCGGTGCTCTGCTGCCAGGAGCACCAGTTGCTCAGCGACAAGCTAGGGCCGTTTCAGGCCAGGCTTGCTGCAGCTGGGCATCATGGTGCGTGGGCGGCCGCGGAGGCGACGGAAGCCCAGGGGTCGCGAGGCGGTGCGGCATTGCTGTACTCACGAATGCGCAGATAACATGCCCGCCGCAGGCCCCTTCTGGGGCGCTCGCGCCCTCCAGGGCCGTAGCCGCCCACGTTCGCTCAAAGGTGAACGTTGGTTTCATCGCGATCTCTGCATACCTGTGGGTTGACGAGCTGTTTAGCCCGAGCAATTTCAGATTGTTGGCGGAGAGTGCAAGCTACATTCGCCGCGCGCAGGCGATTGGCTTCGACTGGGTGCTGGGCGCAGACTTCAATGTGAACCCAGCCCTGCTGAGGTCCTGGGCTGCGTCCATTGGCGGCGTCATTGCGTCGACGACTACGCCTACTTGCACCCAGACCATCCCTGGCACTGTGATCGATTTCTTTTTGTGATGAGCGCGAATATGGCGATTCGCACTTCGGCGCCCGAGGTCTGCTTGACGGCCGACCTGGCGCCCCATCGGCCCGTCTGCGTGCAGGTGCTTGGGCCTGATGCTGCCATGTGGGTGCGCGTGGCGCGGCAGCCGAAGGCCATGCCTGTGCTGGCGCCGCTTGGCTGCGCGCGCTACCCCAGGGACTGGACTGCCTTCTGCCACGACGTGAGGTCAGCGACCTCGGTGGACGAGCTCGCGACCTTCAGGGGCCGCGCCGTGCGTGGCATCGAGCGGGAGCTGCTGGACAGGCACGACATCATAGGGCCCCACCGCGGGGACTATGAGGGCCGTGATGGGCCTCATGAGGTGGTCTGGAAGCAGGCGAAGATGGTGGTGCGCACGCGGCTGCTGAAGGCGGACGTCGAGTACTCAGCATGGACTACGGCGGCACGCTGGGCGCGGCAGATTAGACGCGTGAATCGGGCCCTCTCGACTTATGTGCCAGAGCTGAGTGAGGAGTGCGAGGGCCAGCAGCGGCGCCTGGAGCGGGTGGCGCGCATCCTGTTCGAGGCCCAGGCGTTCATGTGAAACGTCGCGCGGCAGCGCAAGATCCTCGAGGCCCCTGGTCAAATGACGCGCGCCTTTTTGTTCTGTCAGGTCTTGAGGTCTTTGGTGATCCAGCGATTGACGATTCGATTCAGCGAATCCTGGACCAGGCCGAGTCTCACCAGGCCAGATTCCTGGCCCTGAAGGACGAGTCTTGGAAGGCCTGGGTTCGGGGCAGTTTTTTGGGCGGCGCTCGGGA